ACGCCCAAGCTGCCGCTGAACTTCGACGACATCAAGCTCTACTTCATCAAAAGGTCGTGCCCAGCGTTGCAAAATGCGTTAACTCAGGTCGCTGAGAACCTCAACACAAGTGAGGAACTCTTCAACAAGGCCGCACAGATCATTGTGACAAACTTGGGAGCCAAGAACATTGGCCGTTCGTCGACAGCCGGCCAGGGCGCGTATCAGCATCGGCCGAAAGTGGCCGTGGTCGTGGCAGCCACGCCAAACGACCCTTCAACTTCAAACGAGCTGCCTCATCTGACGAGGGAGACAGACTAGCAGCTTCCCAGAATGGTGGCCGCCCCGCCAAAGGACGAGGACGCGGCAAAACGAAGACAAACACCACTTCTTCTGGGCCTGGACAAGCAGCTCCAGCTCAAGAACCTTGGACACAATACGATCTGACGGAGCGCGGGTATCACGTCCGCAGCAAGTACCGTTATTGTTTGTGGTGCAACTGCGCGGCACATGAAACCGTGAACTGTCCCACGAAGGCCAAGGGCCCCGCTCAGTTGAGAAAGTGAGCACCGCCGAGAGTGATGCGACGACACTCTCGACGCCTTCGGAACCGGTTGTCGTACGGGTAAACTCCCTCAGTTCCGGGGCACATGCGGAAGTCGTAAGTCCTCCCATTCTTCATTCTTTCGAGGACTATGCTGCCCGGCTTGTACCTTCGCTGAATTCATGAGCCCAAGGACAGGATGTATGTGCGGTTTCTTCTCCGATCGGAAGCAGCGGCATTGAGTCGTCTTCAAGTGGACCTTCACGGGATTCGGCGCGCGCGTTCAACATAGAGGACTTGGACCCGTTGACGCCTGAGGATTTTGCATGGCTCCCTCTCCCCTCCACCGGCTGCTTACCGGAGCCGCAATGTGCAGCTCTTAGCGCTCATCTACATACATACCTATCCTTCTATGAACCACCAACTTCGCCAACGGAGGACGAAGTCGCGGTGGGGGACATTCTTGCGTACGATAGCAAGGTCGCCCGCGAGTTTCGCACGCAGCGGTACGACGACAACAACGCACCGCTCCTTTATGTCCGCATCCAAGTTGGGCAAGCGTTCTGCAGCGCTTTGCTGGATAGCGGTGCGACTCGCAACTTCATTAGCTAGTCCTTTATGCAAAGGGCCGGCCTTGGACCACAAGTTCGAAGGAAGGCACACCCTACGGCGATCCAGTTGGCGGACGGTAGGACGCAACAACTCCTTGACCGCTACATCGAGGCCGTACCGGTCTATTTCGCACCTCATGCATGCGAACCGGTGACATTTGACGTCTTGGACACGGACTTCGACATCATTTTGGGCATGCCTTGGCTTGCAGGTGCGGATCACACGGTCAACTTCCATCGGCGGACACTTACGGTCCACGACGTGTTTGGCGCCGAAGCACCATGTACCATTCCTCTTCCGCACGCTTCGATCCGGTGCCAAGTTGTAACAGCCAAATCTTTTCGGGCCACTCGCGCTTACGAGCGGACCGACGAGATACGCCTATGTTTCCTTCGCACCGTCGCGGCAGTCGAATCTCAACCCACAGACTTGTCTTCGGACCCCCGTGTGGTACGGTTGCTTGACGAATTCGCCGACATCTTCGAGGCACCTACCGGCGTGGTGCCGGATCGGTCGATCTCCCACGAGGTCATTCTCGAGGCCTGTGCCGTGCCGCCGAAAGGATGCATCTATCGCATGAGCGAGGAGGAACTTACAGTACTCCGCGCGCAGCTCGACGATTTGTTGGACAAAGGTTGGATCCGGTCTAGTAGCTCACCCTATGGTGCGCCTGTTCTCTTCGTGCAGAAGAAGAACAAGGATCTTCGCCTATGCATCGATTACCGCAAGCTCAATGCACAAACCGTCAAGAACGTGGGACCTCTTCCTCATATTGACGACCTTGTGGAGCGTTTGGGCGGCGCAAATTTTTTTTCCAAGTTGGATTTAAAGTCGGGGTATCATCAGATTTGGATACGCCCGCAAGATCGCTACAAGACCGCGTTTAAGACACGGTACTAACATTTTGAGTGGGTCGACATGCCTTTCGGACTCACCAACGCCCCGACGACTTTTCAAGCGGCGATGACCAACGAGTTTCGTGCAATATTAGACCGGTTCGTGCTGGTCTACTTAGACGACATCCTCGTCTATAGCCGAACCTTGGAGGAGCACCTCGAGCATCTTCGACGAGTGCTGGAGATGCTCCGTCGTGCCAAGTACAAAGCCAACCACTACAAGTGCGAGTTCGTACGTCAAGAGTTGGAATACTTGGGCCATTTCGTCACTCCACAAGGCATCAGTCCGTTGTCGGACAAGATTCAAGCCATCCAAGATTGGCCGGAGCCGCGGAACGTCACGGATGTCCGTTCGTTCCTTGGCCTTGCAAGCTACTACCAACGTTTCATCAAAGGATACTCGAAGATCGCGGCCCACTTATCCAAGCTTCAATGTGAGGACCGACCATTTGACTTCGGGACGGATGTGCGGGGATCATTTTTGGCCCTTAAGGCCGCATTGCCATCAGCGGAAGTCTTGCGAATATACGACCCGCTATTGCCAATGCGCGCACTACCGATGCGTCCGACTATGGCATTGGTGCCGTCCTCGAACAACATGATGGCGTGGACTCGCACCCGGTCGAATACTTCAGCAAGAAAGTGTCGGTCGTGCATTCAATCGATGATGCACGCAAGAAGGAACTTCTCGCCTTCGTCCACACACTCAAGCGGTGGCGGCACTTCCTCCTTGGTCGACGCCAATTCCGATGGGTAACGGACAACAATCCGTTGGTCTTTTACAAGACCCAAGACACCGTCAACAACACGATCGCCCGTTGGATGGCGTTCATCAACCAGTTCGACTTCTTTCCCGATCATATTCCGGGGAAGTCAAACTGTTTCGCGGATGATCTTTCACGGCGTCCGCTGCACCGCAGTCTACTCGACCTTCGAGATAGAGGATGACTTGCAGGACAGTTTCATCCGCGGCTATCAAGCCAACCCCAAATTTTGCGACAAGTATGCAAATTGTTCCTCTCCCAATCCGACGCCTTCGCACAATCGGATCCAAGAGGGATACTTGCTCATTCACTCGCGGGGGAAGGATCTACTTTGTGTGCCACAAGATTCACACTTGCGCACGAGGCTTCTTGGCGAGTTCCACGACGGCCCCGCCACCAGACACTTTGGAGTCAATCGCACGATTGGCCGACTCCGCGAGCGCTTTTGGAGGCCCGGTCTTTTCGACGACGTCACGTGCTATTGCGAGTCATGCGAGGATTGCCGACGCTGCAAATCCCGCAATCATCGTCCGTACGGCGAACTGCGACCATTATCGGTCCCCTTGCGCCGAAGGGAAGCGATTGCCATGGACATTACCGGGCCGTTCCTCAAGCACAAGACAAGCGTGGATGGGATTCTCACGGTGGTTGACCGACTCACCAAGTTTGCCATGTTTTTGCCTTGCCGCTATCACGCCAAGGCATCGGAGTTGGCCGAGGTTCTCTACGCCGGTTGGATTCGAACCAAGGGTTACCCCAGGGAGATCGTCTGTGACCGCGACACTCGGTTCATGTTCGATTTTTGGTTGGCGCTCATCAAACGATGGGGCTCATCCCTCAAGTCGAGTTCGGCTCGCCACCCCCAAACCGATGGCCAAACGGAGAGGGCACATCAGACCGCACAGGTCCTTCTTCGCACTCTCATCCGTCCCGACCAAAAGGATTGGGTCGAGCGGCTGTCGGATATCGAGTTGGCATACAACTCATCCATCCATCCGGCTATTGGGATGTCGCCCTTTGAGTTTGAGCATGGCTCGCGGTCAATTCTCCGTTGGACACAATCATCCCACGGGCGGCCAAGAGCGACGACCATCTTCTCTTCATTCGTCGGATGCAAAAGCTTTTTGTCAAGGCACGTGACCAGATGTCAAAGACGCAGCAACGCATGCGCCAACAGGCCAACCGCCAGCGTCTTCCTTGTCCGTTCCGCGCCGACGACCTCGTATGGGTTTCCGCTGCGGAATTCAGCCTCGAACAAGATATCTCTCGCAAGCTCCTTTCGAAATGGATGGGGCCCTGGCCGATCGTGGCACCCGCTGGGGACGCACCCGAAGGACCTTCATTTATCATTCAGGTGCCCGCCCACTTGCCCGTCAACCCAGTCTTTCGCTGTTCCAAGTTGGCTCTCTACACGCCAGCGGAACTTGACGACTTCCCCGGGCGACGATCGCAAAACCCACCCTCAATGGACGGTTTCCAAGAGGTTGGTGACATCATATCCCAGCGACGTTACGGCAACAGGCCGACTGAATTCTTGATCCATTTTGCATATTGCACCCATAGAGCTGACATATGGTTGACCCGTGCTGAACTTCAAGCAACAACTCCCGACGTCCCCGCACGCTACGAACGCAAGTTGCAAGGCAAGCCGACATCTTCAGCTCCACGCCGCAGCCGCGTCCAAGTTCCACCTTCAGATCGCCAGCTTCGCCCTCGATCCGGCTTGATTTCATAAGGAGGGGGGGGTGTTGCATGCTGCGCCTGCATACGGGCCCCATTTGAGGGGCCCGACGGTTGCTGAGGGGCCTCCAGGCCGCGTACCATACAGCACGCGCCCTGGAGGCCCACGGCGGCCCTTCAGGCCCTAGGTAGCACACTAGTTAGAATAGGTTTAGTTTACTTACCTTTCTCTGTGTGTGTGCTGTCTTACCTTGTCTGTCAGGTGCCGTTTCGGACTTGCAGCCCCAAGGCCGGACCTTGGGACTGGGTACACCGGAGGCAGGCCCGAAACGAGGCCAGGCGCATTTTGGCGCCAAACAGGCGTCGTTTCGGTCCTGCAGGTCCCAAGGCGACGCCTTGGGCTAGGTGCACAGGTACCGGGCCGTTTTTAGGCCAGGCGCGTTTCTGCTCCTTGCTGCATCAGCAGCACGGTCTGGACGTCCGGTAGGGACCCAGACCAGCTGGGCCGTTTTCTGAGGCCAGCATCAGGTAGGCCCAGCCGGCCCAGCACTACAAATAGCTGGGCAGCGGTTGGGCAAAGATAGTTCGAGTAGCTCACTTCTGGAGCGACACGCTGCTGGTCGAAGCAGCGTTATTCTGCGCCAAGCTACGAAGTAGGGAGTAGCGGAGTAGGTAGTAGAGAGGGGCGGAGGCCTTACCTGCAAGCGACGAACTTACCTGGCGCCATAGCTGGGCTCCGCGCGGTACCTGCACACGACGACGACCACAGTCAGTACGGTGACAGCTACCTGCAGGTGAGACAGCAAGGAGGACGGCATCTTCTTCTTCCTCCTCCTCCATCTCTCTCCCTCCTTTCTCCTTCTTCTTCCTCTTTCTTACCTTCTTCTTCATCTATGAGAGTGAGAGAGATCATCGGTAACGAATACAGGCAGAGGTTATGTTGTGAAACGGTTTTCACCTTTTTGCAGTCGCAGATGCGGATCCCAGGGCTCGATCCCTAGACCTTACCCTACTGTGTACAGTACCTGTGTAGACCCCGAGAGTTGAACCCGTGACCTGGGTATTCGCAAGCAACTGGTAGGCTGTCATAGGTCCGTCGGTTGTAGGGGTTCGATTTGTAGGTCTGTCGAATAGAAGTCTGAGCGAAGTCTAAAAGTCTTAGTTGTAGTCTTCTAGGAGGTCGGCAAGTGGGTAGGGGTTCGATTTGTAGGTCTGTCGAATAGAAGTCTGAGCGAAGTCTAAAAGTCTTAGCTGTAGTCTTCTAGGAGGTCGGCAAGTGGGCAAGTGGGCAAGTGGTGAGCCAAGTGGTGGACTAATTGCAGTACGATTGCAGTAAGGCCTCAGTTGGTTAGCAGTGAGTCCCCAAGCAGTCAGCGGTGCAGTCGAGTCAGTCCCAGTCCAGTCCAGCAAGTACCATGAGGGACTGTGTCAGTCTGTGTGCACCAGGGGCCGATGGAAAGGGGCAGACCAACGAGCTTCAGAAGTATAAATCAAGAGGCAGCACCCAGCCATTCATTCATTCCTGCGTGAGCCATGCGGAAGCGCTGCCACAGCAACTTGTGCAAGGAGGTCTGCAGTGAGCCCGGAGCTGAAGTGGGCGAGCGAGAAGAAGCGTAGCATAGCGATAGGGTAGCAGCGGCCATAGCCGCCATAGCTAGAGTTAGGGTGTAGCGTGTGTGTGAGTGTGAGTGCAGAGTAACGCGTGTGGGATATCCAGGGTGATCCGGGGTATGCGAACAGAGAGTTGTTTGGGCGGTGAGTCGCCATAGCCATCGAAAGTGAACTTGTATCTGGACTGTCTTCGGCGACCATATCTCTGAGTTTTGTGTGGGCGCTTGTCGCCAGTTTGCTGTGTGCCTGTTTGCATGCATGTGAGTGAGAAAGAAAAGCGAGTCTGAATGCATTGGTATCGAAGCTGGTACCCGCTATTCCATGTGCGCCGTCGTGTGCAGGGAGTGATGCGCCATAGCTGAGGTAGCCGCCAAGAGAAGAAGTCCGCCATAGCGGACCTGGAGGTTGGAGAAGCCGCCGCGCACCTGCAGAGAAGACCACGACGAAGACGAAGACCGAGAGAGAGAGAGGAGAGAGAAAGGTTGAGCGATACAAGATTGGGTTACTACGTACCTGCTGCGCTGGAGATACCGCTACGGCGCGCGCGCGCGCGCGCGTGAGAGAGAGAGAGAGAGAGAGAGATGAGCGATACAAGTTTGGCTGTTACGTACCTGTGAAGTGCAGTCCTGTGAAGAAGAAGAAGAAGGCCATAGCCGCGGAGCTTGACCATGGAGTGGAGAAGGAGGGAGAGAGAGTGGACAGAGAGGAAGAGACCGAGCAGAGTGAGGGAAGCCGTAGCTGAGAGAGGTGAAGGGAGAGACAATAAAAAAAAAAAAAAAGAAGAAAGGAGACAGCCGGGGTGAAAGGAGGCGAGGAAGGTGAAGAGAAGAAGAAGGTTGGTGAGGGAAAGTGAAGCCGGCCGCCATAGCCGGGAAGTTGACCGGAGGCATTGACCAGGGTTGACCGGCGTTGACCGGGAGTTGACTGGGGGTTGATTGGGGGTTGACTGCAGCATTGACCGAGCGTTGACCAAGGCGTTGACCAAGACCGTTGACCACGATTTTGACCAAGCTGGAGCCGGTATATTCTCGCCAAGCCTTCCGCTTATTCCCTTGCCCTATGGATGTGCACACACCCTATGGTACTTGCTGCGTCAAGTCCGTCTGTCTATTCTTTCTGTAGCGAGTCTCTTCTGTCCAGGTGATAGTACTCTGTGGATGAAGGATAGGCCTTGTTGACCAAACCCCTGCCGGACCAAGTAGGGCTAAAGACTGTGTGTGACGACGCGACTGTCTCGGAGGCCTAACCCTCCCAAGGACCGGTACAGACCGGCGGGCTGCTCGGTGTGGCACGGTAGGCCCGAAAGGCTGAGTTGTGGGCTGCGCACCAGGCAGTCTAAGTGTTGAGAGACCTGCTAATCGCGTCGTCCTATCTGCGACGTTAAATAATTCCTGAGGAGTTACTGGGGATCTCCTTAAATGCCTCCTGATCAGCAAAAGGTCTAGTAGTGACAACCTTAGAATAGGTCTAGGCTAGAGACCCTGGTTGACAGGATCCCTGTCCGGATTCTGTGAGTCCTTAGATTGAGTCAGTAGGTTTGTCAGTCAGGGGTTAGAGTCTACGTGGTGAGGTTTGGAACGGTTAATCCGGTTGTGCACTTATCACTATGGTTGACACCCGGAGTGGAAAGAGCACTAGCCCCTATACCCAGGAACAGCAAGAGAAGATCGTCGGCTTAGTGAGAGAGAATAAAGAAAGGAAAGAGCTCCTGAAGCAGGCGAAGTTGAAAGCAATTGCAGAGTAGCAGGTGGCGAAAATGAAGAAACTGGAGGAGGAGATGGAGGAGAAGAAAAAGGCTGCCGAGGTAGAAGCAACAAAAGAAGCAGACGAGGAGAGAAAACGCAGGGAAGTAACGGGGGAGAGTAGTGGCACGGCGAATGAGGATGCAACGATGGAGAAGAAGATTAGTGAGTGGATTGCTAACTTATCATTGGGGGAAGACGAGGAGGCACAGTTATATGTGCCACAAGATGAGAAGGAAGCGTTTTCCAGGGCGCTAGCAACAATCGAGGACCCCCTGGAACGGCAAGAAGCAGAGGAGGAGAAGAAGTTGGAGTGGAAACTGAGGATGAAGAGGGAGAAGAAGAGAAGGAGGGAGGAAGTTAACCAGTTGACCATAGAAGTGGAGAAGGTGAAACCGTGCAGACAAGAGGTCCAGGCACAGACAAATGTCTCTGCCAAAATGGATAAGATGTTGGGGTACTTGGAAGTGTTGAGTGAGGCTTGGCTGGAGGAGCGCCAAGCCAACTGGGTCACGATGTGGCCCTGAGTGCCATGCGATCCGGGTTTCGAGACTTTGCGCGCGACATGGTCACCCACGTTGGGGGTGAAGTCAGGCGATTAAGGGAGAACGCACGAAAGTTCTGTGAAGGCGCCATTGAGAGTGCCAAAGCAGTAGCCGCTGTCGAGAGTGATGCCAGGCCTCGTAAAGAGCCCGTCAAGCTTAAGTTCCCAGATGCATATGGCGGGAAGGAGGATAATTTTGATAACTGGGAGGCAAGTGTCAATAGTTACGTGTACTTACAACACATCTTGACTGAGGAGCAAGTCCTTGTCGCCTTCCAGGCCCTCAAAGATGAAGCGGCCAGTTTTGCCAGGTCCCTTGCGCGCGCAGCCGGTTGTGAAAACAACCTGGTTGCATACTCCAAGATCACCCCCCTTCCTCAATTCTTCAAACTTCTGAGGGAGAGATTTGCTGACCCAACGAGAGGTGTTAGAGCCTCTGACAAGCTACAGACTATCCACTCGCGACAGTGGAGGAGTGCGAGAGCACTCAAAGCTGTCATGGACGACCTAGTAGCCGTCCCAGACCACGGGGTCACTGAGACCCAGCTGGTCCAGTTATTTTATCGTGCCATGCCAGAGCCCTTGAGAGGGCATTTCTTTGACAAATCTCAACAGGCCGACATCACATATGATGTGCTGAGTAGAGAGGTGGTCCTGTTCGAGTCAAAGTCCATGCCAGTGTCCACTTTCTGGCATAAGGACCTGGATAAGGGGAAGAAGTGGAAAGGGCGTACCATCTCCGGCCAAGTCAGGGCCAAGGATCACATGATCCTCACGTTAGAAAAACGTGGTACCGATGAAGTCCCCTACAGTGAGATTGAGTGGGGGCTAGAGGAGGAGGACAATAGTGTAGGGCAAGGGAGGTCCTATGCGGCTGTCGCGGCTGGAGGGAGGCCGCAAGGTAGAGGAGGAGGTCAGGGCCAAAGGGGCCAGGCCACGGGAGGCCGAGGACCGGACGCACAGGGGGTTGGCGGACAAGGGAACCGCCAAGTGGGAGGTAGGGGTCAAGGTCCCCCACCAAATCGTCAGGGTTCTTGTCGATCCCCGCAGCGACAAGGTGGAAGGCCACCTCAACAGTCAGGAGGATGGCACCCAGGCTTGCTGCAAGGCAGGCCCTGGAAGGATTTGGGCTTGGACCAGCGCGTATGGCAGGAATGCGTGGACTTGGGTCAGTGCGTGTTTTGTGGTGACCCGGCCAATGTTATCAAATTTTGTCCTAAGTATAGACAGGCTCGATGGGCTGCCCAACAGTCAAAAGGCAGCCGCCAGTAGGGGTTGCAACTGCCCCTACTATAAGGCCATGTGGGGAAGCGAGCGCGCGCGAACAGGAAACTCCCAAACCACATGAGCCTATGGCAGAGGTTGCATGCCAGTGCCTAGCTAGTTGTCTAGAGACTGCTTGTGTTAGCGTCTCTCTAGGCACCTCCCTCACAGGTGTGGCAGAAGAGTTGAAGGAGAGGATGCCAGCCTGGGCCAAAATGAAGAAGGAGAGTAAGGGACAACTAATCTTAGTTAATGTAGAAGTGTTCAGGAGTAGAGTAGGGGCCCTTATAGATTCAGGGGCTACCCGTAGTTACGTTAGCCGTAGATCGCTGAAAAAGCTAAGGCTAGGATTAAAAGTCCAAAAGTTGGCAGACCCCATAGTCAGTGTCCTAGCAGACAACCGTACAATGCGTGTTGAGGACTACGTAGAGGGAGTCCAGGCGTACTTTCGCCTAGATAAGGATGGGAAGGTGGAGAAAGTTCTCCATTCCCTGACTCTCCTCGTACAGGATGACCTTCCTTTTGACATAGTGTTAGGAATGGATTGGGGAGAGGCAGCAGGGGCCACACTCCACTTGAGAGAGCATGAGTGTAGGCTCCCTAGTCCATCAGGCGAGGTCAAGACTGCCCGCCTGTTTCATGTGTCGGGTGTAGACAACACTCTGGCACATTGCTGTCTCAGTGCTCCCGCGTTCGCGCGACCAGTGAAAAAGGAGCAACTAGAGGACCTGGTCTTCGTAGTGTATGCCAGACCTGTCACTCAGCCTAAGGAAGGGGATAGTTCCACATATCCAACCATTGCCAAACTGCTGGAGGAGTTCAAAGATTTGACTGAGTCGTTGACAGGAGTAGTGTCGCGACCGATCCAACACAGAATAAAAATAGAGCCTGGAAGTAGAACTCCGAAGGGAGCAATCTACAGGCTGTCCCCTAGAGAGTTGGAGGAGCTACGTAAGCAGTTGGACGAGCTCCTGGAGAAAGGTTGGATTAGGCCCAGTTCGTCTCCTTTTGGAGCACCTGTCCTGTTTGTCCCCAAGAAGGAAGGAGAGTTACGTGTGTGCACAGACTATAGGGGTTTGAACGCCATCACAGTGATAAATGCTGAACCACTGCCCAGGATAGACGATCTTTTAGATCGGGTGCAGGGTTGCAAGTATTTTTCAAAGATAGATTTGAAGTCCGGTTATCATCAGATAGAGGTCCACCCTCATGACCAGTATAAGACTGCGTTCCGGACTAGGTATGGGCATTATGAGTTCATAGTGATGCCCTTTGGACTAACCAACGCGCCAGCTACATTTCAGCGTTGTATGAATGATCTGTTTAGACCTTGGTTGGATAAGTTCGTCGTAGTCTACTTAGACGATATCTTAGTTTTCAGTAGGACCCTCCAGGAACATCAAGGTCATTTGAGGCAGGTCTTGGAGAAGCTCAGAGAAGCTAACTTCAAGATCAATGCGAAGAAGTGCGAGTGGGCCAAGACACAAAGTTTTGTACTTGGGCCACGTGTTAGACGGAGATGGCATTAAGCCAGAGGACAGCAAGATAGCGGCCATTCGAGACTGGCCGACTCCCCGCACGTTGATAGAGTTGCGGTCGTTCTTAGGCCTAGCTAATTACTATAGAAAGTTCGTCAGGAACTTCTCTACAATCGCCGCTCCCTTGCGCAGGTTGCTTAAGAAAGAGGCAATCTGGCAATGGGATAAAGACTGTACGTCGGCGCTTAAGAAGTTAAAGCGCGCGCTAATAGAGTACCCTGTCCTCAAAGTGGCAGATCCGTCTTTGCCATTTGTCGTCACCACGGACGCGAGTCAGTATGGTATAGGCGCCGTGTTGCAGCAAGACGACGACAATGGCTATAGACCCGTAGAGTTCATGTCAGCGAGGATGCCCTTAGAGAAGGTAGCCACCTCGACGTACGAGAGAGAGCTCTACGCTCTCAGGCAGGCCTTAGAGCACTGGAAGCATTATCGGCTTGGGAGGCACTTCAAAGTATACTCAGACCACGAAACTCTTAGATGGTTAAAGACCCAGGCCAAAATGACACCTAAGTTGACTAGGTGGGCCGCTGAGATAGACCAATACGACTTTGACCTCAAGCCGGTCAAAGGCAAGTACAACGTAGTTGTGGATGCTCTGAGTAGTAGATCAGACTACTTTGGAGCTATAGTGCACTATCTGGACCTGCAAGAGAAAGTAAGACAGACATATGCGCAAGACCCTATCTATAGCGACCTCCTCAAGAGAGTTAAGGAAGCCTCAGAGACTGAACCACACTACCGCACTGCAGAAGGATTGTTGTTTGAGAAGACTGATGTAGTAGACCGCCTGTGCGTCCCCAATAGTGAGGAGATCCGTAGTCTGATCCTAGGGGAGTGCCATGACACAGAGGGACACTTCGGTTGGCAGAAGACTTCAGCCAATCTGATGCGTGCGTATACCTGGCCGGGGATGAAAGCTGACTGCATAGAGTATGTTCGCAGTTGCAAAGTTTGCCAGAGGAACAAGACCACTACGCGTGCCCCTCTCGGTCTTCTCAGACCCTTGCCTATCCCAGACCAACCTGGAGATTCAGTCTCCATTGACTTCATGGACGTTGGTGTCAACAGTAGGCACGACAAGAGCCAAGTCATGGTCATAGTTGATAGATTCAGTAAATACGCAGTTTTTGTTCCTTTGCCTGCAGAGGCACACACCGAATTAGTGATTCACAAGTTTTCCGATTTTTGGAGTAGTGATCACGGGGTTCCATTGTCTATTGTTAGTGATAGAGACACCCGCTTCACCAGCCAGAACTGGCAGGAACTGATGAGAGTCTATGGATCAAAGTTGCTGATGTCACCTGGCCGTCATCCAAAGACTAACGGTCAGACATAACAAATGAACAAGATCCGGCAGCAAGTTCTGCGCATGTATATTAGACCGGATCAAGTCAATTGGGACGAGATGTTGCCCAAGGTAGCCAGCGCATACAATAACAGCGTGCATTTGTCTACCTGTCGCACTCCCAACGAATTGCACAAGTCCTTTGGACCCCGAAGACCGTTTGAGGGACTTACCCGGGATCAGATTCACAGGCTACCGCCCGGAACCAGGGAGTTCGCAATACAGCACGAGAAAGAGCTAGCAACTGTTGTTGAAAACCTCAGGAAGGCCCAACACCGGATGATAGAACAGGCCACCCATCGCAGTTTCAGATAGGCGACCTGGTCTGGATCAAGTCTAAAGAGATTGCACCTGAGGAGAACATCTCGCAGAAGTTACTGCCTGCATATAGAGGACTGTGGCCAGTTCTAGAAGTCAAGGGCGGAGAGGATGGACCGTCCTACACTATAGAGATTCCAGCACACCTCCACACCTACTGTTGCATACTGTAACTGTGCAGACCAGAACAAGAACCGACCTCTCAATACAAAGTACAAGATAACACAGCGGAAGACTTAAATACCAGTGATCCGAACAATCAATGTTGCAATGCAGCTCTGAACACACATCATCATCATCATCGTCCCAGGGTGTGAAAGGGGTCTGGCGCTTCACACAGGAAGATTGCGCCAGCCCCACACATACACAGACGAAGAAGAGGGGGGTTAGACGAAGAGGAGGGGAAGATGGGAATGTCGTCAACACCAAGTCTTCGGCACAGGCCCAAATAGTCCCTCGTCCAAATGTCTGAATCCCAAATGTCGAGTCTGTATCCAATGTCGTCAAGTCTCAGGTCATATCTCTCTCTCGTAGTCCACAGATACTGAGAAGTAGGCAGCGAGAGGGGAAGAAGAGATGGTGGACTTAGAAGAGGAAGAAGAATAACTCTCTCTCTCTCAGTCCAGTACTAACCTGTGAAGCCGGCGCCTTTGTGCAGGTACCTCGAAGATGGAGCTGGAGCGATGGCGCCACAGGTAAGTATCACTGGCCTCCGCCAGTCATCTCTCTCCTATATCACTACTTCTACTACTGCTATAGCGCCCAACGTTGAAGGCTACAGCTATGGCACCCAGCGTTGAAGACTACCACTAGCGCTAGCTACCCTGGGCAGCGCTCCTCCGAGTGCTGCTCCGCTATCCTGAAGACTACTGCCTGACTACTGTCCAACTACCTACCCGTGAAGTGCCTAGGACAGTCCTATGTACTACTCGGGTGTGCCTCCTGACTCGTGCGAGCAGTCCAGGAGGCTGCTCTTGCCAATGCCGAGCGGAGGTAGGGGCTGCAGCTGCGGCTCCTGCTCAAGCTCGTGAGGAACAGGCTATTTCTGGCCTGTTCCGCATCCCTGTTTACGTGCCTGAGTCTTAGGGGCAGGTCGAAACAATGAGGGCCTGAAAATGGCCCTCCGTTTCAGGCTGGAAAAACTCTGGGTCTGAAAGACCCAAAAATAGGCTAAAACGGAGTAAGGGCCTGCAGGCCCTCGTTTTTCAGCTTTCAGGCTGAAACGACCGGGGCCTGTAAGCCCCAAGTTTTAGGCTTTTAGGCTGAAAGTGCGGGACGGGCCCTACAGGGCCCGTGTGGCTACGCACTATGCCACACCCCCCCCTACTTGAAAGACCGAGCTTACCTGCGAGGGCGAAGCTGTCTGTCTGAGGGAGGGACCACAGTCCGGGTGGGAGGGGCTGGTCGTGAAGCTTCCTGAGCTAACCTGCGCTTTTCATAATGAGCGTAGATCAGCGGTGCGGATGCTTTCAAATCTGCGCTTGAAATCTACCGAGTGTCGTCACGATCGCATGCTTTGAATGTGACTTTGTACTGCCGCGGCTTGCTGCCGTACTTGCGATCGGTGATGACGCGGTCAACTTCCTGATGACCATCCATAGAAGGAGGGTCCTACGATCGTCGGCCCGGAAAGTCGTCGCTCTTGGCTGGCGTGTATGTTGCCAGCTTCGAGGCGTGGAAGACTGGACCGTCAGATGCTCTGGAATGTTGATCACAAATGAAGGGCCATCGGGCTCATCGCCCGCGGCTGCTGTCACAGACCAAGGTCCAAACCACTTGGGAAGCAGTTTGCGTGAGACATCCTGTTCCAGTGCAAACTCTTCCGCGGAGACCCAAACCTGATCACCGGCGCGGATGGGACATGGTATGCGACGCCTGTTGGCTTGCTGCTGCATGCGGACTTGAGCCTTTTGCATGTTCGCGCGGGCTTGAGTCAACAGTTCCCTGTACTTCCGAACGGAAGTGGGGGAGCAAGCGGCGTCAATGTCGGCTGGTCGAGGGAGGAGAAGGCCGGCGAAGATACGGCCTTTCCGTCCACCGTGGTGCAACTCGAATGGAGTCACGCCGATCGTCGGGTGCACCGAAGTGTTGTAGGCGAACTCGATGTCGGGGAGGCGGTCAACCCAATCTTTCTGGTTCGGACGGATGAGCGTACGAAGCATCATTTGAGCGGTTTGATGTGCCCGCTCCGTCTGCCGGTCTATATGTGGATGCCGAGCCGAACTTGGTTTCATCGTCGTGCCGGACTCCTGCATGAGCGCAGTCCAAAATGCTGACATGAAACGAGTGTCGCGGTCGCTGACAATGTCTTCTGGTGCACCGTGGCCACAAATCCAATCAGTGTGCAGGAGGCGTGCCAGCTCGGGAGCCGTGGAGTAGTACTTGCAAGGAAGAAAACACGCGTACTTACTCAATCGGTCCACAACCGCGAGGATGCCGTCGTGCCCGAGCCTGTCGCGAGGAAATGGACCGGTGACGTCCATGGCACTGGAGAGACCGGGTTCCCGTGGGATAGGCGTCGGGTGTAACTCGCCGTAGGGATTGCGGTTGTGGGGTTTGCTGCGTCGGCAAACTTCGCATGAGTCGCAATACCGAGTGACATCGGTAATGAGGTCAGGCCATCGGAATCGCTGTCGAAGCCGTGCAATAGTGCGATTGACTCCGAAATGGCCGGCGAGTCGCGAATCATGATACTCGCGGAGGAGGCGAGTCCGAGGACGACTGTCGCGTGGGACACATAGTAAGTCCTTGCCTCTCGAGTGGAGGAGCAAGTACCCGTCGACAATGCGGTAATGGCTGGCCGGAGGGTGATCCGAAGATAGTTGTGCATAGAGCGTGGCGAAGTCCGGATCAAACTGATATGCCCGGATGAAGTGTCGCTGAAGCTCCTCGTCGAATGTGAAGGCATGATGTGTCATAGCGCAAAGATCAGGTCTTCGCGAGAGTGCATCTGCTGCGCGATTTGAGCGGTCGGGAAGATGTTTCGGTGTGAAGTCAAACTGGTCGATGAAGTACATCCATCGTCTGATCGTGCTGCTCACCGTATCCTGCGTCTTGTAGTAGGTCAATGGGTTGTTGTCCGTAACCCATGTGAACCTACGATGCCCAAGGACGAAGTGCCGCCATCGCTTGAGAGCCATGACGAACGCGAGTAACTCCTTCTTCCTTGCATCATCAAGCGAGTTGGTGGGAGGCACTTTGTGGCTGAAATACTCCATAGGGTGCCAATCGTCGCCGTCGTGCTGTTCCAAGACTGCCCCAATGCCGAAGCCGGAAGCGTCTGTAGTCACTCTCGTCGGCAAGGTGGGGTCATAGATGCTAAGGACGGGTGCCATGAGCATTGTCGTCTTAAGTGCTTGGAATGACCGGCGTGCGTCGTCATCGAATACGAATGGCACCTTTGGCGACTGTAACCTCGTCATAGGTGCAACAATCCTGGAATATCCGGTGATGAATCGCTGATAGTAGCCCGCCAACCCCATGAATGAACGAACGTCCGTGGTGTTGGTGGGCTCGGGCCACACTCGTAGGGCCTCGATCTTGTCCGCGAGCGGACGGATGCCTTTCGGCGTCACATAGTGGCCCAAGTACTCCAGCTCCTGCTGTGCGAACTCGCACTTGTCGCGGTTTGCTTTGTACTTGGCCTGTCGTAGCCGCTCCAAAACGGTGCGCAGGTGTTTCACATGCTCGTCCAAATTCGACTGTACACCAAGATGTCGTCGAGGTAGATGAGTACAAACCGATCCAGCACGTGTCGGAACTCCGTTGTCATAGCCGCTTGGAAAGTGGCTGGGGCATTCGTAAGGCCAAACGGCATAACCAACCATTCGAAATGCCCATACTGTGTCTTGAACGCGGTCTTGTAGTGATCCTCCTTGCGAATCTCGAGTTGGTGGTACCATGACTTGAGATCCAACTTAGAGAAGAACTGGGCGCCGCCCAATCGCTCGAGAAGGTCGTCGATGCGTGGGCGAGGGGCGGCGTTTCTGATCGTCTACGTGTTGAGCTTGCGATAATCGATGCACAACCGCAGGTCCTTGTTCTTCTTCCGGACGAAGAGAACAAGAGCACCGTATGGCGATGAGCAAGGCCGAATCCAACCGATCTCTAGAAGGTCCTCGAGTTGTGCGCGAAGCACACTTAACTCTTCCTCGCTCGTTCAGTAGATGCAACCGCGCGGAGGTACGGCCCCGTCCTCGAGGATGATCTCGTGGCGGATGGGCCGATCCGGTACTACTCCGTGCGGGCCTTCGAACATGTCGCTGTAGGCGTCGAGAAGTTTGGTAATGCGTGGATCCGAAGATGAGTCCGTCGATGAAGCGTCTCGGGGCGGAAGGGCGTGGAGAAAACACACCCCCATCTCCTCGATGTCGTCTCTGATGATGGAAGCTCGCATGCTTGCGGCAGATACCACGTGGCAGCTGATCGAAGGATGAGGAAGGGGCACCGTGCATGGAACTAATACTCCGTTCCGATCACGAATGTGAACGGTGCTTTTGAAGAAATTCACCGGGTGATTCTCGCTTCGCAGCCATGACATGCCCAAGATCATGTCAAATTTGGTGTCCAGAATATCAAAGGACACCGCCTCACTTGCATGAGGGGCAAAGTACACGGGGACGGCATCAATGCACCGGTCGATTGACTCGTGCGTATGACCGTCTGCCAACGTGACTTGCGTAGGCTGGGACTTCCTCCGGACACGTGGGCCAAGGCCGGCGCGTACCATGAAGTCCTCGCTGATGTAGTTGCGAGATGCTCCGCAATCGATCAAGGCGTTGCAGGTCGCCTCTCCGATCTGAATGCGTACATATAGCAATGGTGCGTCGATGTCGTCGTACCGTTGCGTCTTGAACTCGCGGTCGATCTTCGCGATGTAGGCGTGAAGGTCGACAACCTCTACTCCGGCGTCCATCAACGGAGTTGGTAC